TTTATTTTTGTGAAAATTTTTGGTCATTAAATATTCTTTTTAGTTTTAAATGCTGTGTTTATATAACTTCATAATGGTTATGCAACATCACATATATACTGTATGTGTGAAAGCCTGACAATAGGGTACTAGCCACATGAGTACAGGAATAAAGGCTAAATGAAACTGGGGAACGTAGCCTCATGTTCAAGAGGACTAGAGGGAAGTATTGAAGTCATTTCTTCTGCACTAGGCGTAGGTGAGAATCCCGATGATTGCAGGAATGGCTGGATAACCAGGTGTCTGAGATAGACACCTGCCACTGTACCTCCAGCTCCCTGGGGGACAAAGTAGCCTGGTGAGTTCCCAGAGATGCTGTGAGGTCTGTGGGTCTGGTGTACACGGGTTAAGTGTTGACTTCATCATGAAGGAAAGTAAGTACAGATTCATCACTGCTCCCTTTACAGTAAGAATACTGTAAAGAGAGCAGTGACGGAGGTCACTGGTGGAGCTCGACGAGGCTCTGCCCTTTGTCTTCCCCTGTGACACTAACCATAGAGAATAGGGAAGGGAACTATCAGGGGGAAAGTTCCAAACCATTACGACTATATAGCACAGGGAAGGAGCCAGGATAAGGATAAGGGATGGGACGGGGAGAAAGGAATGGTGTCCAACCACTTGGATGGTTGGGAATAGAACGCCGACCTGCAGGAAATCACAGAATAGAAAAACTGGACTCACCAGGAGAGGAGTATAAGATCAAACCCCAAAGGGGAGGAGACCAGGATTTAAAACCCTCTTAGACCTCTAAAACCCATATCCCCTGACATGAGCCCAAGACATGTTATAAAATACAGTGTCAAAGTCGCAAACTTCCAAACTTCATAGACCTGACGATAGATCGCAGGCTGGTAAGATTTTAGGGTACTGTGGACGACATGAAACAAATGAGCCTAGGAATAGGGTAATCATAGAGACTGGATCAATAGTGTCCTCTGAAGCAGGCCAGATCATGTACAGAGGTAGCAGCAAATAGCCGCAACTGGACACAATAAATGATGCACCCTGGCTGAGCAAACTAATAACCAAAGTACCCACCTCCGAAAACAAACCATCACATTCTTCGCCAGAAAAGGAGAAGTATTCCCTTCGACAGGGTTTGACTTGGGAGGTTGTTTTGGTTTCTCTGGAGCCAGCTCTTCTGCTGCAGCTGCGATAGCTGGGTGTGGACTTCAGGAGCATTTTGCTGGCTTCCTATTTGGGTTTTTCAGGGTTCGGTTCCCTGGTGCCTTCCTCCACCCTCTCTCGATGTCTTCACAGATGCTTCTGATCTTGGTTGGGGTTTTGTGACCAGCTCTCACCAAACTGGTCAGGGGCCATGGTCCCTTTGCCTTTGTTAGGCTCACAGCACTGTGTGGGAGATTGAAGCCATGTGGCATGTGCTTAAGAGGGTTCGGATCCCTCTGGGCTCCAAAGTCCAGCTCCATTCAGACTGTCTATTCATGGTTCATTGTCTGAACCTGAGGTTTATTTGGTTCCCTTCTCTTTGGAGCTGGACTCTGCATGCAGTTCGTCTTATGGTTACTCGGGATTTAACTCTCCATGCCATTCACATCCAAGTGATGTCCAACATCCTGGCCCATCACATTGGATTTGACCGTCAATGCTGACTCCTTCCTTTGGCTTTGCCAAACATTCTTGTGCAGTTTCCTGACTGCGAAGCTACTTCGGTAGATGCTTTTCGGCTGGACTGGTCGAGGTCCTGGTGAAATTACTCCAGCTCTTACTCCAGGTCCTGATGAAACTGAAGTCCTACATGGGAAGGGTGATCTTTCTGGTAGATGGCCCATCCTTGGTTTCAGGCACTGCTTGTTCAATGTCTAAACTTGGCTATTTTCCTGCAGTTCCACCTCTTTCAGAAGGTAAGTTCAGTGATGTACCTTGCTTGTTTCACCGCCTCCTCCAACCTTCATGGCTAGAGTTTCTGATGAGTGTTTATTGCCATCTCTATGGTGATCAGGTGGCTGATTTGCTGTTGATATCCTATCTGCAGTTCTCCTCTCGACAACAGAATGAAGTCTGTGTGCTTTTTGTAATTTCTTCTCCCATTGTTGTTGCTCTGCGGTGTTAGTTTCAGTTGTTTTTTTCTCTTCTTTCCTGGCTTTTTCTGGATCGGCATCTTATGCCAAATACTGTCGCCTTGTATCGTACAGCGCTGATGGAGCCTCTTCAGCTTGCTTTTAGGGTTGATACTTCCTCGGCTCTGTTTTGTAAGCTTTCTTAGGTGCTGTTTCACCTCTGGCCTGCTCATGCACAACCTGAGCCTACTTTAATACACACAGAAATCACAATAGCGTGATACATCAAATGAACAAATCCACAAAACCTGGTAACACATCTGGAGAGAAGGGACTTCGTGACAAATCGCCAACATGGATTCAGGGAGGGTAAATCTTGCCTTACAGGCTTGATAGAATTCTACGATCAGGTGACACAGATTAAGCAAGAAAGAGAGGGCTGGGCGGACTGCATTTTCTTGGATTGTCGGAAAGCCTTTGACACAGTACCGCATAAGAGGCTGGTACATAAGCTGGAGAGACAGGCAGGTGTAGCTGGTAAGGTGCTCCAGTGGATAAGGGAGTATCTAAGCAATAGGAAGCAGAGAGTTACGGTGAGGGGTGAGACCTCCGATTGGCGTGAAGTCACCAGTGGAGTCCCACAGGGCTCTGTACTCGGTCCTATCTTGTTTCTGATATATGTAAATGATCTCCCGGAGGGTATCGATTCATTTCTCTCAATGTTTGCGGACGATGCTAAAATTATGAGAAGGATTAAAACAGAAGAGGACTGTTTGAGGCTTCAAGAAGACCTAGACAAGCTGAAGGAATGGTCGAACAAATGGTTGTTAGAGTTTAACCCAACCAAATGTAATGTAATGAAGATAGGTGTAGGGAGCAGGAGGCCAGATACAAGGTATCATCTGGGAGAGGAAATTCTTCAGGAGTCAGAGAAGGAAAAAGACTTGGGGGTTGATATCACGCCAGACCTGTCTCCTGCAGCACATATCAAGCGGATAACATCAGCGGCATATGCCAGGCTGGCCAACATACGAACGGCATTCAGAAACTTGTGTAAAGAATCATTCAGAACTTTGTATACCACATATGTCAGGCCAATCCTGGAGTATGCAGCCCCAGCATGGAGTCCATATCTAGTCAAGGATAAGACTAAACTGGAAAAGGTTCAAAGGTTTGCCACCAGACTAGTACCCGAGCTGAGAGGTATGAGCTACGAGGAGAGACTACGGGAATTAAACCTCACTTCGCTGGAAGACAGAAGAGTTAGGGGGGACATGATCACCACATTCAAGATTCTGAAGGGGATTGATAGGGTAGATAAAGACAGTCTATTTAACACAAGGGGCACACGTACTAGGGGACACAGGTGGAAACTGAGTGCCCAAATGAGCCACAGAGATATTAGAAAGAACTTTTTTAGTGTCAGAGTGGTTGACAAATGGAATGCATTAGGAAGTGATGTGGTGGAGGCTGACTCCATACACAGTTTCAAGTGTAGATATGACAGAGCCCGATAGGCTCAGGAATCTGTACACCTGTTGATTGACGGTTGAGAGGCGGGACCAAAGAGCCAGAGCTCAACCCCCGCAAACACAACTAGGTGAGTACAAGGGCCCGTGATGAGGGTTCGAACCCGTGTCTGAGATAATCCCAGATGTACCTTAGTCGATTGCACCACGACATAGTCAAAAGAATTGCAAGCGGGAGTGCTACTGCCCTCACATTGATCCTGCAGCCTCTCCGAGACAAACCAGCGTTTTACACAATTCCCCCCCATGTACCCGGGTTCTGTCAACATTTGATGTACCATTAACATTTGATGTATCACGCTATTGTGATTTCTGCGTGTACTGAAGTAAGAGCGAAGAGGTAGAGCAGCTTGTTGACAGAGCCTGGGTGCATGGGGGAATTGTGTAAAACCCTGGTTTGTGTCTCGGGGAGGCTAAATCCTGTAAATGAATAATTTTCCACAAGTTTATTTTGTAAAGGAACATGAAAAGTCATTTGATGATTTTTAGATGGACAAAATAATGGCAGTGTGCTGTAGCTAACGCTGTGAACATCTTGAACAGCATTGATTCACTGATATCTGAACGTTGTACACAGTCTTTATCACAGTCAGGCTCTTCTGTAATACTATCATGGCTAAATAATACCAGTTATATATATTTTTAAATTTTTAGGCGATGCTGTGGTCACAAGCTGAACAGGAGTGCTATTAGCTCATGCTGCGTGCACCAGACTTGGTTGCTCACTCAGTATTGAGGCTCTCACACCCGGGAAAGTTCCCTGCGATTTTGTTCTTAAATAGTGTCTGTTTACGAGAGCCCTGAGGAAGTTGATGTGAACCCGGTGTAGCCGCGGGAGTTTTGAATGCTACGCTCTACCTACGAGCACCCTGAGATGTCTTGTGTACCACTGATCGAGCGCCTCAAGGCGCGTTGCGCAGTGAGGTGATTAAAGAACACCATGACTGATGGCACCTAGTAGTTTGATACTATATCAACATTGTAGCTTCAGGGAGCCACTGGGGCTCACCAGAAATAGGTGTTTCATTACATTCAACGCAGGTTTTTAAATTGTTTTTTTCTGTGATCAGGAAGAAGATTTTGACAAATAATAGAAAGAAAAAATTTGGAAATTTTTTCTTGTGCACAGCAGCATTATCATCTATAAACAAAGGTGCTGTGCAAGGGGTTAAGGATTTGCAAGGGCTGATGTGATAACTCCACACCTACACAGTAGGTGTGGAGTTATCTCAGTGTGGCTAGCTACAGGGAGCCACCATTTGGCTGCTCCAGAAAGTGTTTATATATGACTAATCAAATCCTTGCCAAGAAAAGATCTGAGAAAACAGTTTTTGAAGCATGTCATGGCATACACTCCGTAAATTCCAGTCTAAATTACTAGCGACTTTGCAAATTATTTGATAGAAAAATTATGTAAGTTGAATTTATTTTAATTTTACAGTTATAATGATCGATCATGTTCACACATTTCTATTTTGACACCAAATAAATGTTTTTAACCCCCAAAAATAACTTAAAAAACATAAAAGTCATAAACATTTTATGCATCGTTAATCGGGGTCCCAAGAAACCTGGTTAGGCACATGGTGAGGGACCGGAACACTAATGTTTTAACTGGCAAATCACACAGCTGATTGGTGATGGTGAGCAATCAGCCATTCACTAATTGATGTCCATCTAAATCATGTCTCACAAAGACAGTATTTGCACATTATGTTTCACAACAAATGCATGAATCTGAATTAGATAGATCATTAATTCAGTGCTTGATTTTTTGTGTGTATTAAATGACCTACGGCAATAGTCAGCGATACCACATTTGATATTACAAACAACTGGCTTTCTGCCCACTAGTTTGTCTTCAACCATTTTTGTTAACAGCCAGAAATATACATGGTTAATATTCCCAACATCTCCAGCAGCCATTAACTGATTATCACAATAACTATCACTCTTGGAGGCAAAACAAAAGAATCTATTAAAATTTGTTACAAATCAAAGTATTTATCACCTTGACTTTTGGATAATAATTTTACAATGATATTTTCTTAAATTGCCTAAAATAGACTTGGTCACATCTGGTTTGTATAATAATTATTTACAATTATTTATTAACTATTCTCTACAGTATTTACATTAATTAATATATCTTTACCGGTATGAAATTTATTAAGTGAAACACATTGATGATTCACACAAAATCTAATAATGATAAGTCAAATAAGATTCTTTAATTAAACAATATTTAATTGCTAGCAAGTAAAAAATAGTGTCAAGTGTAATGAAATTTTTTAGTTCATAATGAGCCTGAGTCCATCTAGGACTTGTAACTCCTCCTAGGCCCTCGTTCACTTTGCCCTCAGCCACATTAACTATCTTTTTGGAAAATGAGTTCACAAAGAAAAGGAATTAAGGAAAGCAGTGGCAAGTCTAACTCAAGCCATCACCAAGGAGCCAGTTCGCTATTATGACGTATGGAAGAGTGGAACAATAGTTTCAACATCATCTGCAACAAGGAATGCCTATTACTGTACAGCAAACTAACAAATATGATTAAGGAACTAAGCTACCCTAACTTCAATCAGGCTACTGCACCCATCATCTCAACAGAACTAGTGAAGCTGGCAACCTCATTTTAAGTCACTGAAGGAAGCTCAGCCAAAAGAAAACAAACTAGGCAGGAATGGTTGAATCTGTGACATAGACTTGGAAAGATGTTTTACTATACTGAACACCCTATTTCTGAGTGGAGGCTTCTCACATGCTTCCAGAGCATGCACCTAACTTACACTAAGCCACAGCTTAGTGTAAGTGTATTGGAATATTGTATTGGACTTGGTGTATTGGAATAAGAGGCAGGGAGTGGAAGACCCCCGTGGACAATAGACAAACCAGAGTAGACTCGACAATTAACCAGCCGCCCAACAGAACCCAACAAAGACAAGCAGCCCAAGGCTACAGAGTGACACCAAGGCAGGAAAGAAAGCCATAGAAGTAACAAAAATTTCAGAGGTCATGAAAATGCAGGTAAGCACGGGAGCTGACTAACCCTAGCCACCTGGCAGAGAAGCTGTGAGTGGCAAACCTTGGAACTAGATGCCAATATGCATGACTTTAAAAATAGTGGCAGAACAAGAGGTGTGAGAAGCCAGGAATTACTGGCATAAAATGGTCAAGGGAAAAAGGGTAGTATGTACAGTATATCAGGGAGATTGAACCATGTTGCAATGAGACGAAGACAGAATACAGCAACCCATTCTTACTCAAGACTGGAGGAGGTGGTGGTGGTGGTGGTGGTTTCAGCCGCACAAACTTGTCACTGAGACCAAACGACAAACCCTCCAGCTACTGAAGAATAATATCAAGCTTGACAACTGAAGTACCATTGGGTAAGAACAAACCGATTGGAGGACAAAAATCTAGGATGATGTTCAACATTAAAAAAAAAAAAAGGGCTCTTAAGGAACACAGGAGGGATGAATGCAAAATAATATATTTCCCCAATTTAAAAAAAAGAGAGGACAGATCCAATCTAAGCAAGAGATATGCAATCAAAATAACATATTGATTAACCAAAAAGAGCCCTAAGATCTGGAACAAGCCAACCTTTTTCAGTTTTAGAAGGAGACTACAAAGTATTGAGACCTAAAGACACAATATCAAACCTTGTCAGGAGGAAAAAAAAAAAAAAAAAAAAGAGCCCAAAACTGAACCACTGCCTGATATGGAGCAAAACAAAAAAGAAGGTATGGACAGGATTGACATCCACACCCAATGATATTCACAGCCACAGGGTAAAAAATAGACCCTACAATCAACAAGAGGATTAGAAGAGGCAGTAAGGATGAGTGCCTGACTCATGAACCTCAGTGTTGTACTTAGGAAACTTGCACATAACAGAATATGACTCAAGAACAGTGAAACAAAATCCAGTGCCCAAAACAGATCCCAGGGAGAAAACCCATTCATAATAGATGTGTTCTATTATAAGTACAGTACATTTACCCTACCCTGTACAACAAAGAAAAGGTAAGGTGAAGACAACCCAGGGTTAAACAAAAGTTACATTACACACTCAACTATCACCCGAAAGATTAAATCTATCTCACAATCCTCGCATATAAAAGAGTGGAAAACATTCTCACTAGTGTTTGTCTCCTAAGAAGAAAGCTCAAGCCTTAGGTAGAAACTATAAAGCATGGAAATCCCTTGCTACGGTAAATCTCAAGAAAAAACAAGGAAAAATCTCAACTCTCTCAGCCTTGCAGTGTCAATAAGATATGTTTGTTGGTACCAGAGAGCCCTAGAGCTTTGTTGCTTTGTTGAGCTTTGTTGAGAGAGCTTTGTTGGACTACACATAAGGGGCATAACTGGCCGACCCCTCACAGTGTTCAAGAGAGAACTGGATAAGCACCTCCAAAGGATACTTGATCAACCAGGCTGTGACTCATACGTCAGGCTGCGAGCAGCCGCGTCTAACAGCCTGGTTGATCAGTCCAGCAACCAGGAGGCCTGGTCGACGACCGGGCCGCGGGGACACTCAAGCCCCGAAAGCACCTCAAGATAACCTCAAGGTAACCAGACCACGAAGGGAGGTTGTTAGCTTCACCAAATCAGTTTTGGTGACAAGTCCTGTCACCTGGTGGTAGCTTAGTTAATCAAGCAGAAATTGTCATTCATCATGCTTTCAATTACAGTATTAATTTCAGGAGCAATGAGTGTTGAAAACAATGCTCAATCATTTGTACAAGAGCAAGCTGGTCTCTCAGTGGTGGCTTGAGTTAGACTTGCCACTGTCTCCTTTTTCCCTGGTAAGTCCATTTACAAAGATATTTGTCACTTAGGGAACAAGATCAAGGTGATCCCTAGTGATAGATTTCAGTCCTACATCGGCCATAATGGCTCAGACTCAAGGAGCATCTGAGAGAAATAATAATTTTTGAATTTTAACTACAAAAACGGAAAACAATAATAGAGTGAAAAGTCACTATAACAATTAAAAATTATGTAATAAATTAACAATTGCTTTTTACATTTAATATTTATAAATTAAGATACTGTACTGCAAACCATGCCCAACACATTCTTAATACATGTGGGTGGGGTCACACCGATGGCAGACGACCGTTAATGGCAGCCATGACCACTTTACGTAATTTGTTGCGTCTACGCTTAGGGCGGTGGCGTGACCTGTACCAATAACACACTAGTAGCACAACCATCAGCACGGACAGAACAGCAAATGCGGGAATCCTTTCAGTTGAGTACGGGAGAGTTCCCAATGCACCACCTACAAAAATGTAAAACAAAACATTTGTTTAAAATGTTAAACATTTTAAAATGTTTAAAATGTAAAAATGCACACAAAAATGTATAAACATCAATTATTGAAGTTTCACTAATAATAGTCATTAATTGGATGAAAATTAGATACTTGAACTATTGTGATACAACATACAGTATTATCAACAGAACCCAAAAAGAAAATACATTTTTGACTTGGCCATATTAAAACACTAAATTTCTGTGGGGAGCCCCTCTGGCTCCCTAGAGCTAACAGGCTAATATGTGATACATTAGACCTGGGCATTATTCAATTGAGTTCAGCTTACTGGGGACCACGACCCAGAACCTGGCCTCCTTAGAGAGGCACAGGGAGCAATGGCCCCTGGAAACCCCCCTGTGGTTGGCGGTTTTCCTTACCTGCTATCGACCGGGGTTAGGCACCAAGAAAGGTAGGCATAACAAAACAGACCCCACATGGTAAGAAAATTGCAAACGAAATCGGAATAGAGAGGCAGAACTCCCTCAAATCTCAAGGAAACACGCAAACAAGAAAACGTCACACCTCGCCGCTCATCCATGCAGCCTTCCTTTCCTCGGGAGGGGGAGGGGGGATTCCTGCCTCCCCCGTCGCTAGCTACCCAGCAACTCCAGTTCATTGGCTAATGCAATCCAGGGTGGTTGTCAAATCTGGCCTTGGTTTCCTGGCAGTGTTTTGCCTTAGTGGGTGTCCTCTGCTGTTCCTGGTGTGGTGACCAGGTGTAGTTAAGATTAAGGAGGCTGCATGTGCTTAGTCCAGCCTTCTCTAAGTGCCCTCTGAGTACTAACCTTGGGGGTGTCAGGGTTCTCTTTCCTGGTGCTTTCGGGACGCCATTTTCATAGGGGTTTTCGCTGCTTGGCATATACCCCGCCCTTGGGGCCAGCTGGGGTTTCGTGGTCTTTGTATGGCCTTGGTTAAGGAGTGGTATTGTTGCTGGTTGGGGTGGGATCACTTATAATATTTTAGTGTCCCTCTGCTAGGCTCCCGTGATTGAACATGTCGCAGGGGTTTCAGTGTTTTGATCTCCCCCTTGTTAGCTTCGGGTCTAACCGGTTAGCAACTTCTTGCTTGGGCTTCCCGTAGCAGTCAGCCAACGGGCGCTGGAAAAACCCTCTCAGGGCTCGGTGGACCTATGGATGCGTCTTCCTAGTTCTAGCTTGCCTCGTGTGAGTTTGAAGGTTGCTGTGTGCCCTTGTCTAAGGGTGACAGTCACCTCTTTTGCCTCTGTTATGCTGCCTGTTGGGCCCCTGACACCTTTGACCCGGAGTCTTGCAAGAAGTGCCCTGTGCATGTTCTCCAATTTACCCATTCTGATGATATTGATATTTGGGTATAGGCAGCATCTGCGTTGTATGCTAGGTTTAGGTTGCTGCAAGGCACTAGGCTGGTTGCCCTCCCGGATGCCCTGAGGCTGCCTCATTTTGGTTATGAGGAGCCCAGATTTCGGCCCATTAGCCACTTCCACTTTGGTTGTCCGTACTTCCTGGTCCTTCCCCCTGTTGTTTGTCCTGCCCCCAAGGCTTCTGGCTCCCAAACGTCTGAGAGTTTCGGAGTTGGAGTGGGGTTTAGTTGGTAATAGAAACTTCCGGGGCTGCCCCATTCGGGTTGAGGACAGAGGCATTTGAGCCGATTCCTCCTGCCGAGGCTTGTGGGTCCCACCAACAGGCCCCCCCCCCCTTCTTTTCTGCCTTTCCCCTGGACTGCCTTTTCTTCAGGGGTAGAGGATATGGAGGACTGCTCTGCCCAGGGGTCCCAATTTGGGGGATCCCAGGGCTGGGAAGGAATTGATCTGGGGGTCTTGGGGCCCCTTTGACCCCGCTTGGGTGTTGGAGCCCTCTTTGCAGGGCTTGTTGTTGCAGGGAAAGGGGTTTTCTTACCCCCCCTTTCTTGTACAAGTATGATTTGGGGGTCGGCTCCTCCCTGGGTACGGTTCCAGGTTCCCTTGGGTTCCTCAGTTCCTTCCTTCCAGAGGTTTTCTCTCTCTCTTATCTCACCTAAGGAGATTCGGAAGGCGCTTGCTCCATACCTCCTGCGAGACCTGGATTCTGCATCTGGCTTCGATCTTGCGCCAGATAAAGGCGCCCACAGATCTGTGGGCATCAGAAGCCAGATGCCCACAGATCTGTGGGCATCTGGCTTCGGTCTTGCGCTTCTTTTCCCTTCTCAAGCTGTCCTCGGACTGGCTCGAGGAGGATGTGTGCCGGGCCGACGTCTGGGGAGCTGGCTTCAGCCGCACTGTTGAGGCTGTTTGCGCCAATTCTGAAGGAGTCGGTGTCTCTTCTTTGCTTCTCGTCTCGTGTGCCAGCAGGCTGTGCTTGCTCTCTCTTTGGAATCTGCTTGGGCCCTGGCTCTTAGGTTTTCGTCTCCGTATTGTCCGTTGCTTTTAGCAGAAACTGCTGTCACGTAATTTCTGCAGGCGGCTTCATCTAGTTGTCGTCCTTTGTCGAACTTGTTGGTTCTCCGGGGTGGCCGTTCTCAGCCTGTTCAGAAGGGTCATGCCAGGGCTCGGGGTTCCGTAGGTCCATTGGTGACAGCTTCTGAGCCAGCATTTCCTTTAGAGCCAGCGTCGTCTGGTCGGTGCGATAATCACTCTGCTCGTCGGCTGGCTTCTCGTAAGGGGCTTCAGTCCTTTCGCAGGGTCGCCACGCTGACGGGGCAATATGGGGGAGGTTCACACTGTTTGCTCACACCTGGTCCCATGATTCGTGGGCATTTCGGATCATATCCTCCGGCCTGAGGTGGCATTGGGCAGCTCCTACTCCTTTAGGGGGTTCTAGGCTGGCGGGGCAGGCGTCTTTCCCTGCGCTCCATCAGGTCATCTCAGAGTGGGTGTGCTTGGGCGTGGTCAAAACGATCCCGCCCCTCAGGTGGGTTTCCCGCCTGTTTCCAGTGCTGAAACAGGACTGTATGGATCTGCAGTTCATTCTGGACTTGTCCTGTCTGAACCCCTGGATTCCTTGCCCCTCCTTTCAGATGACCACTCACTCCTGGATGGTGTCTTTGGACCTCAGGGACGCATATTGGCATATTTCTATTTATCCGGGGGTCAGTAACTAATTAGGTTTCATGGTGGGGTGTTAGGCTTACCACTTTCGTTGCCTTTGTTTTGGGTTGAATATGGCACCTCGCGTATTCACGCGTCTTACCTGGGTTCTGAATCTGCTAGGGGTTCGGGTTCTGGCCTACCTCAACGACTGGCTGGTGTGGGCTCCCAGCCGACCTGCTTGTCTGCTCACCAGGGGTGTGGTTCTTTCCACAGAACTCTGAACCCAGCTCGCCGGGTTCAGGTTCCTGGTGAACTGGTAGACATCCCATCTAGTTCCGTCCCAGGTTCGGACCTGGCTGGGTCTTGTTTGAGACTCTCAGACCTCCTCCATGTCTCTCCCTCCGGAGGCATTGCTGCGGCTGCGGTCCCACCTTCAGCTGTTTTTGAGGGGGAGTGGGAGGGGGAGGGTCCCAGGTCACTCGATGGTTGCTTGAACAGTTGTGCGGGAGTCTGAACTTAGCTGTGCTGGTTTACCCGCTGGGTCAGGTTTGGCTTCAGCATCTGTTCTGGTTCCTAAGGGGACGCTCCTTCTGCCTCTCTCGCGATCACTGGGTTCGGCCTCTAGGGGCCTTGCATCAGTTGCTGTGTCACATGCTTCCTCTTTGAGGGTTTTCAGGGTTTAGTGCCTTAGCGCGATCCGAGCCCTCGCTCAATGTGTTCACGGACACGTTGTCTCTTGACAGTGGGGTCCATCCTTCTGTCAGGTTCAAAGCACAGTGCGGGAATTCGCAACGTGCTGTGTTTGGCTGTTGCTTTGAAGGGTTCGGGTCATTCAGGGTTCGACCATCCAGCTCCATTCGAATTGTTCTCCGGTGGTTCATTGCCTGAACTGCGAGGGTTCCCTTCGGTCCTTGCCTCTTGCCTCTGGGGCTAGTCGCTTCGAGTGGTTGGTCTACTGGTTTTTCGGGGTTTGGCTCTCTGTGTGGTTCATATCCGGGGAGTGCTCGACATCCTGGCAGAATGCCTGTTTTGGTTCACTCCCCTGTCCACGGAATGGACATGGACAGGGGACCACGCCGAGACCATGCATCGGCATGGTCTCTGTGTCTCCTGATGTATATGGCGCCCTTCCCCAACTGCGGAGCCTTCGCGGTGGATGCCTTTTGGCAGGACTGGTCGAGGTGGGGTTACCTATACCCCTTTTCCCCAGTCCAGCTGTTGCTTCGGGTTCTAGCACAGTTGGAGTCTTACCATGGAAGAGTAGTCCTCGTGGTGCCTTAGTGGCCAGCCCAGCCTTGGTTTCAGGTACTGCTTGCTCTGTGCCCGAACCCAGGGCATTATCAGTGACTCAGCCTCTTCCAGCAGATCGCACCGGTCCGGTACATGGCTGGTTCGGTCTTCCACTCCGCTCTTCGTTTCTGGTCTTTTTTAAATGGGTTTATCACCATTTGTATGGTGGTTAGGTGGCTTTGTTGATGGTGTGCCAATTGAGAGCTTTGTCACGGTGACAGTATGAAGTTTCCTGGTATTCTTTCCACCATTTTCTATTTCTTCATAGGTTGTCTTCTATTTCTGATCGGGTTGTGTTGTCCTATTTTTCTTGGCTTTGTCAGGACCGTTGTTTGATGCGGAATATTGTCACCTCATATCGTGTAGCACTGGCAGAGCTGCTCCAGCTTGCATTCGGGGTGGATATCACATCTGTTTTGTTCTGTAAGCTTTCTTGTGCTTTGTTTCACCTCCGGCCTGCTCATGCGTCACCTGAGCCGTCCTGGTCCTTGGATAGGGGTGCTCATCTATCTTCTCCTCGGTTCGTGGTGGCCCCTTCAGTTCAAGATTGATTTTGTAAGGCTCTCTTTCAGTTGGCATTGGCCTCTGGGGGTTGGGTTGGTCAGCTTCATGCTCTCCTCCGGCGCAGGGGTTTCTGCTCTTTCAGTCCCGGTAATTGGTTAGTTCGTTTGTAGCCTCCTCCTTTTCAGGC